ATATATATATATATATGTATATATATATATATATATACACATACACACACACATATATACAGTTTTTACACACAAACTTACAACACACAAGAACTGCAAAATTCAACTCACTTAAAAGTTGCTTTTGTGAATCTGTAAAGTTTACGTTGCCATGCCAAAAAGGATTTATCAAAGTAGTACACTTGTCCTTAACTGCAAAACAAAATAAGAATATATATGACAGACTTCTATAAAAAAGCAAATAGCCAACTTACTTTAACATGTCATTCAATATTACTTACATTTACACATCCTCCAAAGTCCTGAGTGTGAGCTGAGGGTCTCCGAAAAGTTCTTCTTTAATTCCAGTTTAGAGGCATCAATTATATACCAGAAATCGGTTCCGATAGCAACCACTAAAAATATAAAGCTCAGTATACCAAGAAAAGCCACAATTACAGACAAAATGCTCAATTTGAGCTTCATTGTGCATTAGATTCTTTGTATACTCCAAAAGGTCAGTGTTAATTTTGTAGATACAAGTAGAATTCTATCACGTACTTTAGTAACAAATAAAAGAAATATCAAGTTCCATCACAGAAGTATCAAAATGTATCTTTCCCCAGGTTCAGCAAGTTCCAGTGATGTTCAATTGAAGTATTTAGCAGTACGAGTTCAGCAGGCATTGCTGCTTACATGCAACAAGCAGACCACTGAAAGCTTTCCTGATTCACATTAACAAGCAGGCGAGATGTAGGGAAGGTAGGAACGAATACAGTGAGCTGCCTGCATATGTGCTGTACTTTTACGAAAGCCTATTTTTATATTTAATATATTTTGAGTAGAAGGAATACATTTGCAGGAGGTCAACATTTCATTTTTGAAGAAAAGGAGGGGAATGATCACAAGTTACATACAGTATTTGTGCCTGTGAACATTTTTAAACAGTGGAACTAAATATATACAGCACAAGGAGGGATTGCATTGCATATATGGAGCCACAAAGCTGAATAACTATGCCACAACGATGCACAGCAGAGTGGCCACATAATCACTCAGCAACACTAGATTAGGGCAGGATGGTTACATGTTTAGCCAGGTTGAAAAAAACGTGACCAGATGTTTGACCAGGTATTCAGCGCTGCAGTACTTTGACATTTATTCCGCCATGCAACATTGTACTGAAATGAATTTTTACCATTTGTTGCAACTGGGATTTTAATTTTTTACTATATTAAGGAAAAATGACTGAACATTATGAAAACATTTTTACATTATGTTAGGAAACAATTATTATTTTTGGGCAAAATATATAAGACGGGGTCACGTTGAGTAAATCGACACCAAACATGTCAAGTCTTAAAATTGCGTGCATCCGCAAAATCGCAAAAAACTATCATACCCAAAATTGACCTTAGGTGACGCTTTAAAAGTGTCAGAGAACCAGGGGTGCCGCTCCTTACCAGGCTCGCCAGCGGTGGCGCAGGGCACAGAGTACCCCTCCTCCTGGCAGGACACCTGGCGGCGGGACCGCGTGGTGTGTGCACGGAATGTGCCTGCGCCACTTAGTGTTTTCAGGTGCTAGCCAGGCTGGGGTGCTAGCCAGTCTGGGGGAGGTCCCAGCACACACCATCCGCCCAGTCAGCCCTGCTATTGGCTCCTGGTTAGGGAAGCTTCCTGGCCGCCTCTGCAACCAGGGGGTGGTCCTTGGTTTCCCTGTGTATTTAAACCAGGCAGAGCCTTGGCTGATTGCTGAGTTATTCTACATCTATGGTGTGATCACAAGCTCCCTGTGTGTAAACCTGTTGCTTCCTGAACCCTTGCCTGAACCCCCGTTATCGACCTTTCGGCCTGCCTTCTCACTTCTGAACCTCGCTGCCTGCCTCGACCCGTACTTGGACCTGACTACGTTTTTGGATTTTCCCTCTGTACCTCGTTTTTGGACTCTTTGTCCCAGCCAAGGGGTTCCACCCACTGCCCAGCCGTACACCCCTGACAAAAAGCTTTTACCACTCATCGGTAAGAGTTATCAGTGATTGATGGCCCTAGAACTATTGCTCTCACTGCAATGTTCGCGGTGATATGTAACACGTGCGGCGTAATGGGCGCAATCGTCATTTGCGCACCCGACACATGCTTGTATGTATGGTTGGGGACTGTTAAAAAAAATAGTGTTTATTTTCATTCTTTTTCATGTGTGACTTGAATATTTTATTTTTTTGCAACTTTCATTTTTTTTTTCCTATTTTTTTTTCAACTTAACATTATTGTTATCACGTAGGGGGCTAAGAAACCCTCTATGTGATAGCAAAGAGATGTGACAGGTCCTCTTTATGGAGACATCAGGGGTCTCCACTCAGTGTGTATATATATATATA